AAGTTATATTCCCAGAGTAAGTTTAGAAGATGGAAAAAGGAATCGTTTGAACTAATAATCAGCACTTAGCTTCCCAGAGCAGGCATTTCTAAGGAGAAATAATTTAGGTTGAATAAAAAGAATTGGTATATAGGGTTCCCACATAAACCAAACACACTCGGTTTCCAGCCCACTGAGATTACAGGAGGTTTGAGCTCCTTCTGGGGAAAAATATCATAGCGAAAAATTGCCCGCCCCTCCCAGCACGTCTTTAAAGAATGCATTACTAAATGTACTACGTAAAGAGGCTCAGCCTCTTTTCACACCAGCAGGAATTGTTCTTTCAGCTTTTCATGTGTTGTTTCCAAAGATTATCTCAGGATGGGAGGGAAAATCCCATCTGAGCATTGTCCTTTCTTTCAAAAGTGCCTGAGAGGGTCCAGCAATAACAAACAGCAGACTTTGAGTTGCAGCACCCCCTCAGCTGGGTTTTATCCATTTCAGATGCTATTGGTGTAGTGCATTTCAAATCCTCTGCATTATAAAACTTCTTTTGCCTCTTGGCACAGGCCTTGGGAGCTGAATGACTGGCCCAGTTACTGCTAAAAGACAGGGACATTTCTGGCTGTTTCCCCGGAACAACTGCTCCTGACTGCTGAACTCCAGAGCCTTGCAGCAGGATGCCTGCTGCTGAATGCTGGAAGTGCTCTAAACTAATTAAAAACTTGGGTTTGACCTACTGTTAGTTGGCAATATTCAAAAGTTTAAGCCTTCCTACCTGTGATTTTGACCAGTTTTGGACTGTCTATCGCCTCCCCAGCCAGAATGGCCTAACTACAACGTATGCACGCAGCTAATGCCTCTGAAGCCCACGGGCCAGAACAGCTAAGGTATTTGGGCTACAACAACGGTGAAACAGGCTGGAGTTGGAGGAAAGGGAGTCGCAAAGATCCCTGCACTTGTCTGGCATGTCTGTTGTTTGCCCTTTCTTTGGCATTCCATGTACCCACTCAGCCTGGCATGCACCAGGATGCCAGAATGAGCTCGTCTAGAGTGTGAGGCTGTGTCAGGATTTGAGAGCATTGGACCTGACTGAGTTCACCCCTGTTTCTCTGGGGCTGCAGTGCACTTGGGAAATGTGACCCTTCTTGAGCAGTCAAATGGGAGATCATGGGTAAAATGCATCTCAGTAAGGACAGCCAGGAGCAGGCTTTTGACAGTGCCTTGAGACTGCACTTGCAAGTTTGCATGCCTTGAGCCCTGATGCTTTTACAGGTGGCACACACGGCAGGCTCCACAACTTCCTTCCTGTTCTCTTCAAGAAGCAGCAACTTGGCCTGGCCATGTACCCATTGATTAGCTGATTTGGCACACAGGGTCTGGGAAAAGACCACACACCATGAGTCCTGCAACCTTGAAATGTTATCCTTCAGTGATAGCAGGAACCTGACTGTCAACTAGTTAGGATTATGAAAGACTAGCAGTTCATGGAGTGCTTGGGCTTATGGTTCTGGTTGGGCTCATCTTGACAACAGATAGGCACATGAACAGGAGGACACCTGCCTTTCACATTGGAAAGCTCAACAGTTACACTGGGTTGGGGAAGCAAGTATCTCATGCAGGAGCTTGGGGAATCTGCGATGACAATACTTGGGCAAAATAATGAGCATATGTCAGCACCTCTGTGCTGCAGAGGGGACTCTGTGTAACTGAAAAGGATCACAAGGAGCCCTGGTGCCAGAGGCTGGGAGGGGGAGCTGAACCTGAGAAACTGGGGTTTATGAGGGTAGGTGGCTGTGGGGTCTGGCTGCATGGTGATAGGACAGCCAGGCTCCTCACCACTCCTGTACAGCCTGCTCAGCTCCAGGCTTCATCGTTGGGAAGGATTTCATCTTGTTTTCAGTTTGTGTTTGATATATGGCTTCTGTGGGGTGATATTACTCTGTAAAGGAAAGAGGTATTTCTCTAAATGTTATATTTGTATAGTAAGGAAAAATATTGTGTTTTTTTCCTTTCTTAGAAAACACTGTTGTGCTGTGGAGGTAGCATGAGTGGCCTTATTTGTCTCTTTCTGCTTGCAGCTCTTGTTTATCATGTTGATAAAAGATAGGCTGGGTAAATCTTTGTGGGAGAATTACTATGGCCTGCTGGTCTTTCATTCATCCTCAGAGTGTAGCTAAACTTCCCACAGATGTTTAAAATAATGGCATTTAATCTCTAACACAGTTAAAAGGCTCATGTGTTCCTGCTCCAGAAGTGAGACACATTGACTGCAGTTCTTATTTATTTTAGTTGCTTGCCCCAGCTTGAAAACTGAGTAGTCAAAATAAAAGTTCTCATTTTAATATTCTGTGGGACTGAATTGCTTCAGTAAAAGCACTGGCTCTTGTGCAGCTACTGGTGTATAACTCTGCTTTCTTCATATTAGTCTTTCCTTTGGTTATGGCCATGTCATCTGCATATTCTTTCGAAATACTGACAAGGAATGTCTATCACTGAGCACTGACTGGTTGATGAATTGAAGCCCCTAGCCAACCAATGAGGAGAGGTTTGCATAACAATGTGATTATTTGGAATTACAAACCTTTCCACTTGCTTCTGTAATGCCTCTGCTTTAACTGCCTCTGTTGTTCACATTTTCAAAGTACTTGGAAATCATGAAGATGCTTCCTAAGTCTTGTATCTTTCCTTTTTTCTGTGGCATATATGGGGGGATATGTGAAGGGAAGTAACAAGCAATGAAGTTAAATAGTTTGCACACAGAAAAGGGGAACAATGTGGAAAAAAGTAAAGGAGAAAGAAAATGTTTCAGATTTTTGCTTGTTAATTTTTCCCAAAGCTAAAAGTGTGATCTGAAGCTCATATTCCTCCCTTTTCTTTCCTACCTTCCCTCCAGGACTGTTTGCATGATTTTCCTCTTGTTGTCAATACTGTTCCAGTTCTGACTCTTCACTAACATGTTTGGGTTATTGGAGAAGAACTAGCTTTCAGAGCTGTATGAATGTAAATTGATGTGAGTGAAAGGAAGGTAACTGCAGGGAAAGATGACTGGAAAGGGAAAGAATGTTTTTCTAGTTCTGGAGTTTGTAACTTCAGTTCAGTTTGCAGTAAGTTCACTCCTCATGCGTGTGTGTGGTTTTTGTATTCTCTGTCCCTTACTACAAAGCATGGTAATAACTGGATATATTTCTGTAGAGAGCAGCTTGAAAATGTGCATACTTGGTTCTTTTACTTCTGTTTTGTGAAATAGTGGAGAATTTGACCTACATAGTAATGTGGTGTTTCATGGGGTAAATGGGTTTGGAGACGCAAACCTAGAACGCAATGAGCATTAAGCAGCATGTCCAAAAGCAAGTGTTTGCAGTTGTTAGGTCAGAATCCAAATTATGCAGTAAAACACCATTACACGCCTTCTCGTTTCTGACCCTTTGAGTGTCCATTTGCAGCTTTTCTTCTCATCCAAAGGGGCTAAAGTTTCCTTTGAGCCTGGGGTAAGGAAAGCTGAAAACTTTCTTTGACTTCTGATTCCAGTATTTAACCACGCTAGACTTTGCTTAGTCATTCTTGGCCTTGCGAAGACGAGACGCATGAATCACAGCTTGAAATGATTTCTCTTTCCATTTTCAAGGCCTTGAATGTGCAAGGCAGTGATGGAGCAGGCATCTTGGTTCTGCCCCATCTTCATACGTAGAAACAGAATGTGTGATTCTTTGTGTTTGACAAGACAAATCTGCACTGATTTTAATGGCCTGTAATTTGCTTTAGTTAAACCAGGGCAGATGGCTGCAGGGCTTTGTGTAATTTCTTCAATGCAAGATTGTGGTGCTACTGTAAGATTATTAATCTGGTTTTAGGACACCTCATAGCAAAAAAAAAAAAAAAAGGCACTACTGTTGTCAACTCTGCATTGAGCAAGTAAAACTTAGTTCTGCCCATTAAAATGTGTAACAAAAAAGAATCCAAGAATTTATCGCAGAGGGCTCTGACAAGTAAGGTATTGTCTGACTTACTGCACAGCATAAAAACTGCATCTTGTGGTTTTGGTTATCAAGCATTAACTAAAATTATGTAGTCATGTCTGGTCCCAATCAGGCTTGTACTGACAGGTGATCCGATAGTACGTAAAGCTCGTATCAGTGAAAATTGAAACAGAGCCATGAAAATTTGCAAGGGCTTAACTAAACTGATTTAATGTAATCAAGACCTGGTTGTCTTTAGACAGGGTTTTTATTTACTGCTTTAATACATTTATTTGACATAGCATCTATGCCTCTTTTGTGTTTCAGTAGCAGTAGCTCGGCAAGCAAGAACCGGAGTTGGAATGATTGCCAAAAATGAAAGTTCAGCTTAGAAATCCAAATTAGAATGAGAAAGATGTCTTCACATTTGCTTTCTCAATTATTTAGACTAAAGGCTATATTTTGCAAGATATTTTAATTCAGTCTGAGAATAAACATGTGACCTGTCTTAGCAGGTCCTTAGATTGAACTGCAGAGCTCCCCCCAGTCCAGTTAGGTCTTGTTCCACATTATCAACCAAGACATTTCTGATGGGGAAAAAAACCCAAAAAGTACTATGGAAAGTGTTGTGGGTTTTCAGTGAAGCTTGCTCATGATGAACATGTTGAATGGGAAGTCTGCAGGCTGGAAAGCACATCTGCTTAAAACGTGTTTTCTTTCTTTGTTTATGTTACCAGTGAGCACTTTTGTGGAAATCATGTTTTCTTCACAATCTGTTTGCTAAATCAGGGCACAAACCTGAGAATACTTGTTCATGAGTAATTTTCTATAATGAGTGGCATCACTGAATTCAGTAAGAATCACACAGAATTAAGTACATGCATGAAAGTTTGCAGAAATTTGGCAAATACGTTGTTGTCATTAACAGATAGCCCAGCTTTGCTTCTAATGCAACTATAAATTCTTGGCTTGGTCTTGTTTTGAGTAGCCCTCATTGTATGAGCCATAAGCTATTCTATTGTGCTCAGTCTAACGGAGGATATTTCTCTCATTTTGTCATAGCAACAAGAGCAAGATCCCACAAATCTATACATCTCAAATTTACCCGTTTCCATGGATGAGCAGGAACTGGAGAATATGCTGAAACCCTTTGGACATGTCATTTCCACCAGAATATTAAGAGATGCTAATGGAGTCAGCAGAGGAGTCGGCTTTGCCAGGTGAAACCTTTACACCTTTTTTGGTTCATTCACATTTTTCAGCTTTGGTCCTTCTCAAATGCTATTTTGTAACTCAGAAGTCTCATAGCTATTGAGAATGCAGAGCAGCATCTTTATCAGATCATGTATCTGTTCTTTCCACCAAACTGAAGAATACCAATGCAGAAGGATGTTCATTTCATTGTTCTAAATATAGTTCATTACATGTATGTGTATGTAAATAAAAATCTCTTGGAACAGTGATCTATCTGTGCGTTATTAAGCTTGGATAATAATAGATGTTCTACAGTCAGAAGCACACACTTGGTGAAGAAACTGTTTAAATGTTTAGCACAGATTTTGTAACAGGAAAAAGTAAATTTATCAGTTGGAAGAGCAAAGGGGAGGAACTATAACTGAAGAAACATGACTTCCTTGAAAGCTGCAGTGATCTCAAGACTGTGAGAAGAGTTTAAGAAGAAATATTTACATATAATAATCCCTGTTGGAGTAGTTAGATATTTTTGACAGAATGGACAGCATATTATCACTGTGTACTTCATTGTCAGCACAGATAGACAAGTTTCCGTGTTTACTCTCAGGGAATTATTATATAGATTCTCTTCAGCTTGAAGTATTCTTAAATCAAATAGTTTTCTTTTGAAAAGCCAAGGAATAGAGAGCTATACATATAGAAAGGTATTGAAAAAGCAAGTAAATAGAGAAATTTGCAATTGTGCTGAATTTTGAAGCAGAAAACCGAATCAGAATTCAGTTTTCTCTTCAAAATAAAAGGAAAAGTAGCAAATCATTGTTTTTGCAGAATATTCATAACATTGTGCTTTGTAGAGAATGCAAAATGACTTAGTCATCTTGAGAATTTCTTTGAAATGCACCATGTCTTGCCGTGTCATGGCACTTCTGTTAAGTGTCATAACATCACTGAGTGAAATGGGGTACTGTATGATAAAAAAGTGGCTTGCAAGATAAGTGACATTATAGTGTTATCTTTGTCCTTGATGTGAAAGATCATCACGCATGAAGAATGTTAAGATAATGTTGTCTGAATTCAAATGGGAAAAGGCAAAACATTTATGCTGAAAGATGACACACTGTTCCTTATGATTTTTTCTAGTTCACTAAGTAGAGATTAGTGTAACTCAGGGATAAACTCGCATTTTAAAAAACTGACTTTGTGTGTGGAAATGTAATTATGTAACAAATTTCAAGAAACCTTTAGTGATCTAATATGAAGGTTGTGTAATTTCCCCTGCAAACTGTAGAGGGGTAAAGCCTTTGCTCCATCAAAGTATACAGCAGGTCTCCCATTGGCTTGAGCAAAGCCAGGAATTCAGAACCGTGGTTGAATGCTGACTCTTGTCTTTGCAGGATTATCAGTACAAGATTTAATTACTTGGCCACCTGACCCTTTTGTAATACAGTGCTATTTGGTATCTTTTCTCCGCCACATCAATCCAAATAGATTAATGTGTTTAGTTTTGCTTGTAGTCAGGAAGCTTTTGTTCTAGTCTATCTACAGTGTGAGCACATGCTGAGAGGGTATAAATGCAATACAGGTAGGAGATGGTAGCTGTATTTCAGTCCAGATAAAATTTTAGGAGTTCAGATCAGCAACCCGTGTGGTGATCCCGTCAATTATCCGCTGCCTTCTGACCTGGGGACTTTTATCGCAGTGTATCTTGCCTGCTTGTGGGTTGTGCCATGCTGCTTAGCACAGCTCTTAACTGAACCACAGAAGCACAGGAGAAAAAGTTAACTTTGCACACACTAAAATGATGCAGCATCCAGCAATTTTGAGATTTGGTGTTTCAGAGTTATTAATTGCTATGATGATTAAACATTGCATTTTGATTCTGTCCAATTATGTGACTAGTCAATCTCAAAATAAGTATATTCAGAAAGCAAATGGAAGTAAAGACTTCCGGTAGACAGTTACTGTCAGATTTTTCTGCTAAATGGAAATGATTAGTAGTATCATAGTACTGCAGGTGGCTACTTAGTCATTTATAAGCAAGGTAACTTCAAATGTTCTTGGCTGAAAATTATCTGAGCAATGTCTGGCCACCTGAGAGTTCAACCTCCTTTAAAGTTTGTATGTACGAAACTAGCTCCCTTTTTTAAGCTGTGATAGTATCTCTTTTGCATCCCTCAAAAGCAACTGGACATATTTTCCTGAAACTTTCTAGAGCATTTCACTGTGGCTTGAACCCAACTGTGCCTAGGTATGCTCCAGCAGAGAATCTGGGGAGGACAGTTATGAGCAAGGGGCCAGAGAAAGGAGGCTTTAGACTCTGCCTGTGGCTCCACAGAAGTTCTTCCAGTTGAAAGGGAATTGGCAGAACCTCTGGACACCTGCCTCTGCCTCACCCCAGCCCATGCTTTGTACTTCAAAGCCATGCTAACTGGGTCCAGGCTGTCTGTGGGACCTGGCATTCTGCAGGGCTTGTGCTGCTGTTGTCATTTGGCAGCATGGGTTTCTGCTGACACAGGCAAGCAGAAGGTGGGACTAAACACAGTCTGTCATATAGCAGAGAGAGAAATTAGAAGGAGGAGGAGGCAGAAGAAATACTAGAAATAAGGAATTGGAAAAGGAGATGGTGTGGGTGAAAAGCTTTGAGTTCAGTCTGTCTTAAGATATCAAAAGAGGGAATGACATAGTGGTTCCCTGCACACAGGGATTTCATCACAAGACTTAAAACTGTAGGTGTTTCTCCTAAATCCCCATTGCTGGAAGTCATCTAATGAGTTCATCATCTGATCTTTCATTTAAAACATGTAAGTGGATTCCTCAGAGCTTAGAGCAAAAGCATAGTCCTTCATCCTCAAAAAGAAAAAAAAAAACAAAGGAAAAAAAGCCAGAGGAACTGGATTTGGAGACTTTTTTTCAAGATGCAGTTTTAAAGCTGATCTCTTATGACTTGACTTTTGCAAACAGGACATTAGCGATATTGCTGGTGGTGGTTTAGGTAAAAAGCATATCAGAGGTAGTAAGAAAGAAAGTCTTTGAGGGAGGCTGGAATTACCGGACACGAAAAGGTGCTGAGTGCATGGAGCGAAATATTTAATGTTATCCTGAAGATTTGTTGTCTCTTATAAAGAGGTAACCATATTTGCTGTAAGACCTGGCTTTCCACAGGCCCATAAAGGGTGGCTCCAGATGTTAAGGTGGGAGAAGATAAAGAAGTCACACAATCACATTGGAGCCACAGTAGCGGTGCCATCTTGCTAAAAGAGAGGGAGTATTTAGAGGAAGATTTCTGAGGATCAGTGATGATGCTACTTTGGAGGCAGAGAAGCATTAGCAGCAACGGGGGATAAAGAACTTCAGGCATTTTAAGGCTGTATTTGTGAAGAGGGGAAATGCTTTGTTCTTCTTTATTCAAGGGTTTAATTGAAAGCATTTGAAAAGGTGCTGTAAATTTAGCTTGAACAAATCCATCATCTGGGATGGTAGTGCAGGCTTAGATACTATGAGGATCATTCCTGCTTTCAGTCAGAATAATGATCTGTCACATCCTACATCTTATCCAGGAAATTGCTTTGTAATTGATATCTCACATGAAACTAGAAATCCCTAATATGCCCCAAAGACTTTGTGTGTTATCTCTAAAATATTCCAGTGCCTGTGGTGGCAAATATCCATTGAAAGCCCCACCTTGGAAGGGGCACACAGCAGCACTCCAAGGTGCTGGGGAGGTCTGTAAAAGAATGTATCTCCAAGACCCTCACCTCTCCATCTCGCATATCAACCTGGACCAACTTTTGGTAGACTTAGTACATCCCTAAGAAAATGTCAAGCATGGAGCTGCGCTTTCAGGGAGAAGCAAACTCCCAAGAGGGACAAGAGGGGCAGGATTCAGGGACAAATATCAATGGGACTCTGTAGCATGAAAATGGATATGAAGCCCTTCAAGGTAAAGAAGGAGGAATAAGAAAGTTGGGTGCCATCAGATAATTTAGCTGAGCAATTCTCATAATCCAAGCCTGAGGTACTGTGAGTTTAATTGAACTCCTTGGGACATGGAAAAGGGAGCAAGGAAGCATTGGGATATACCTTAGGGAGGGACTTACTGATACCATTGAATCAATGAAATAAAAATCGTACTTTATAGCCCCACAGTAAAATACCATTCAGTATTATTTAAGTAACCTACCATAGGGATACTAATATTGATAATACCATACATATGTGTACCACACTCAGATGAGTAGTGGAGCAAGCATTTTTTAGGTCTTTCTATATGACAAAGTGCAAAGAAAGAGTTAGAAAGCACTAACTTTTTAATTTTGTTTTCTGTCTTGTAACTTAAAACGACCTTGCAAGATTCACCCCCAAGCGACATTTTACAATGAAGTCATAAGCCTCTGAAACCAGAAATTTATGATGGAAATGCCGACAGTCAGACAGTCAAGTATTGCACTGCTGGCGGGCACCAGTATAATACTTAACCTGAGACTGTGAAGACAGTAGCATAAATCAGCCTGGGTCTAGGTGGAAATGACCGTGTATTCATATAATTCTTTTCCAGTAACATGAGAAAATTTATCCAACACAAACTGTCAAAAAAGAGTGTTATCATGCTGTTCCCAGCAAACAACCAAAGTCAGAAGATTCTCAATTAGCTGTCTGTATCATCTTAAAGCAAAATGAAGTGTAAAGCACATGCTTCCGTTCTTTTGTGACAGAGCTGGGGGGGTGGGGGGGAGTGGGGCTGTAGTGAGGCTTTTACCCACTTCGTTGCTGGGACTTTGGGCTTCATCCTTGTCTTTTCCGTACTTTTTTCTTTTGGAAGAGCTTGCAATGAGATGCTTTTCTCTGCCTGCATATGTTTTTTGTTAAATTTATCTCCTGCTTGTCTGCATTTTACATGTCTTAAAATTATTCTTTGGAAACAGTACTCAGCTACTGAAGTGGAGCAACAGAAAATGGGAAACAAGATTTTGAACCCCCACAGCATCATTTTTCTATTTATAGAAGTTTTGCATGGATTTCAATAGAA